CTCAAAGAAACAAAATTCTGTTGCTCTTTCAACAGCCGAAGCTGAGTATGTAGCAGCCGCATCTTGTTGCTCTCAATCATTGTGGATCATGCAACAAGTAAGTGATTATGGGGTTGAGTTAAAGTGCACACCCATCCTATGCGATAATACAAGTGCAATTAGCATATCAAAGGACCCGGTCATGCATTCTCGGACAAAACATATTCATATACGACATCACTTTCTGAGAGATTGCGTGGAAAAGGGGTTAATCAGGCTGGAATATTGCAACACCGAGAAACAAATAGTTGATATCCTTACCAAGCCTCTGGGAAGAGAAAGGTTTGAACTAATTAGACTGGAACTCGGTCTAATTAATTCCTAAATTAGTTGTTCTACTTATTTCCTAAAATAATGGGAATCACTGGAACTAATCTCTCTTACTAATTGTGAAGAATGTATGCAGGACCTTCCGGCCTCATCTAAGGGGGAACAAATCGATATTTTAATTTGGGCATTAATTTTATTCCTTTTGTTGAATGACAAAAGGGGGAAAAATTAGGGACACCTTTACTATAGCACCTAATGTTTGTCATCAACAAAAAGGGGGAATTTGTTGAATATGTTGTTTTGTTGATGACTAACCATGCAGGAACAAAGGATGGAACGGGTCTATAAACATATGTGAATTATGTGCATATAAGACTACTCGTTTGAATTCTATTTTTAATTACGAAGCTTTATTTGAAAATATGGAATGAAATCTGTGGTAACCACTACTCCTTGGTTAGAAATTCATTCGTTGGAAAATAATCCAAATGGAAAGTCCTTAAATGATTAAACCCACTTTGGAAAGGAAACATTTAGAGTTGCTTTAATAATTCCATGACCGTTGCATGTTTTGAATGAAAAGATCTTTTGCATAAATTGTTGCCTTCTCTAGCTAAGGATCCGTTTGCATAAATACATAAAATATCTTTGGAGCAATTATTATTAATCTCTATGAACAAGGAAAGGATCGAGAAAGAGAAGGGGATCTTCCAAACAAGGCAAGAATCGTTCTCTTGCATAAGGAAGTCACAACGGACACATTCGGAGCAACCTATATATTCAAGAAAGCAAAATGGAAGAGGTGTGCTGAACCGAGAAAAATACTTAGAAGAATCATTCAAGAAAAGATCAAGTCCTTGGCGACTGAAACTGCCTGCTCGGAGTTCTAGATAGAGTTTCTCCTTTCCCTTTCATATTGTACTTGGACTATTGAGGCTTAATTGGCTAGAGTAGCTGCCTCGGGTTAAGTGTGTGTGAGAGCTTTGTGACAAAGCTGAGAGGCTCTCTACCCGCAAGGTAGAGATGCACAACTCTTCCTAGAGAGGATAGAGTTGGGGAGGCTCAAGGGTAGATTAGGAGAATCACTCTTGTAACTCTTTCAAAGGTTTGTTTAGTGAAGTTGTTTAAAATTCCTCCGAGGGAGGTCGAGGTTTTTTAATCCCTTTGAGCCAAGGGATTTTTCCTCGTTAAATTCTTGTGCACTTTACTATTTTGCAATTCCCTTTATCCCACACTAGAACTCGGTGAAAAACTGCCACGGTTCCACACACACAATTCACCCCCCTCTTGTGTTGCTAACCGTTTTCATCATAGGTCATAAAAAGCTGAACTCCAAATTTATTTAATTTACATTATTGGCAATGTTTGAGTTTGTAAATCATAATTATTCGTAAAAGTATTGAATAAAATTAATTTTACAAAAAGTTGTGTTGGGTGAAAAAGTATAAAAACAACCAGATCTTAATTTTAGTACTTTAATCCATTTAAGAAAATTTTGGATAGATAATAAGAATAATGGTACGGTGAAGATGATAGTTTTCTATCCTTCTCTACTATAGCTCTTAATCTCTTATATAGGAAAACACGGAAAGTATATATACTAGCTAGAAGGAAAATATAATGTTTCAGTTGCTCATAATAATAGTGACTAAAAGTATTTCTAAATGTACATATGACTTGGCCACCTCAACAAAACCAAAACCAGCAAATACATATAGAGAGAAAGCCTAGGCGTACGTTGCTGCCATATGAAAACTGTTTGTCCATATTAAAGATATATTAACCACTGTACTTGTTTGCTATATTAATTATAAATTAAAAGTGGATAGACGTTGAGAATAATTAATAGGCTCCAACGTTGGCCGGAAATTTCTTGAAAGTAAATGCTCAGGGTCGGTTTGCAACAACTTCTGCTTTTAAAAAAGTGTTTTTTTAATGAAATGGTGAGGTGATTAAATAAAAGTTGATAGTGTTTGGGAAAAAGTGATTTTGAAAAGTAAAAGTAGGTACTGTTTGGTAAAATAAGTGCTTTTTGCGTAATAGAAAAAGTAAAAACACTTTTGACGCGGAAGCCGAGAAAAATAAAAGTTGTAGTGTTTGGGAAAATAAGTGCTTTTTAGAGCCAAACATTTATTTTACCAAAGACTACCAACTTTTACTTTTCAAAATCACTTTTTTCTCAAACACTATCAACTTTTATTTAATCACTTTCCCCATTGCATTAAAAAAAGCACTTTTTTAAAGCAGAAGATGTTGCAAACAGACCCTAAATTAAATGTTTTATATACTACCTCCGTCCCGTTGGAATGTTCCCACTTTCCTTTTTTGGATGTCCCAATGGAAAGTTTTCATTTCCCTAAATGGAAAGTTATCATATATCAAAACAGTGTCAAACAGTGCAAAACAGTGTCAAACAGTGTCCAAACAGTAAAATTTACCCCCTGCTAAGTTTATTTCTTTAATATGTGTGTAGGTCAAACCGGGAACATTCCAACGGGACGGAGGGAGTACATTTTAAAATGATCGGTGTACACAATGGACATTATTAAAACTCAATGTCCAATAATAAATTCTTTTTTTTTTTTGCTTTCAAGTACGTCTCTTATAGTATTATTTGTTCAATAGTTCAATGTTAAATGACAACTTCTTGATTTGGAGTATTTTCAAATAGGGATGGACCCGGGCCGGTTCCGGTTCGGGCCTGGGCCCGGCCGGACTTTTGTTTGGGAAGTAGGGAACCGGAACCGGCCCGGGTAGCTGGCGGTTCTGGGCCGGGCCGGTTTCCGGTTCAAGTTATTTTTCTTTTATTTTCTTATGTTTTTCTAAATTCCCCCCTCCCCCCTCCCCCCTTTCACTCCCCCCCCAACCCCCCCCCCCCCCCCAAAACACCCAGCCCTACCCGGTAGAAACCCCAAAAAAAATGAAAAAAAAAATTGGCCCAAACCGGCCAGGCCGGTTCACCATTTTCAAGGACCGAGCCCGCACCGGGAATAGACCGGTTCCGGTTGGCCCGAACCGTCCCCAAGACCGGGTACCGGTCCGGGCCGATTCCGGGCCGGGCGGCTCGACCCGACCCGAATCCACCCCTAGTTTCAAACTTGTGACCTCCTCATTAATTGGGAGTGTCACAGATTCTACCTGCCCCATTGTGTCTAGGATTTAAGTTTGTGATAACTTACATAACTGCACACATTAATAATTATTGTATGAGTTTAAAATTGCAGAAATTTCTTATAAATCCTATACATTTCTTTATAATAAACAAATTAATTAAGGGATGTGGTCTATCCTGCTGATAAGTGCAATTTGTTCATACATTTTTACTCATTTTTTATGGTGTTTATTGTTAATGTCGAAGCAAACTGAAGCATTTTTCTGTGTTTTTATTGCATTTATGTAAATGTACTGTTTAAAGGATTATTAGCTAAATATATTCCCAACTACCAACAAATTTACAAATATATATCATGTACTTTCACTTTTATTAAAAAGAGACTCAAGCTTCAACTTCTCTCATAATTACATTTATCATGAATGAATTAGTAAATTAAAAGATAAGAAGGTAGAAGATCATAATTATATTTCATATCTTTTTAATTCTTTCTAGTTTTAAGTTTACAAACTTGTATTCCTTGTTTCTTATTGGAATTAATTCCACTTTAGGTCCTCCGAGTTTTGTGTCAATTCCATATTTAGTCCCCGTCTTTCACTTTATCCATTTTTGGTACCTGACTATTGTTTTCTTGACCATTTTCGGTCCATCTTTGGGCATTTTTACTACCGGAAAAGGACTATATATGATCAAGAAAACAATAGTCAGGTACCAAAAATGGATAAAGTGAAAGTTGAGGACTAATTGTAGAATTGGTGCAAAACTCGAAGGACTAAAAGTGGAGTTTCTTCTTTCTTATTTGTATTGGTAAAAGTGTGTAATTTTGGAAAAACAAAAAACATAAAAAGCATAATTGTTGAAAAACATGAAGTTTGAGTATTTTTTTTATAAAAGTGAAAGAATATGATATATTTATGAATTTGATGATAGTTTGAAATAACATAAGCTAATAAATCCATTTTCAAAACTTGTATTGAATTTTACATTTTGGGTAATTTGTAATGAATTTAATTGTTTGGATTGATAAAAAAAATAAAAAATAAAATAATAAAAAGAAAAGAAAAAAATAGATGAGATCTGGAACAAAACATAAATGGTTCATGGAAGAGAAAACCAACTGAAAAAAATAATTTTGACACAAACTCATAGGAGTGTTTCTAAATGCATTACTTTGAAAAAGTGTTTTTTAAAGTGATTTTGGAGAAAATACTTGGTAATAAAAGTTGTACTATTTGAGAAAAATGCTTTAATTTCAAAAAAGGAAAAGAGAAAATATTTGTTCTCTTTTTGCAATAGAAAAAGTGAAAATACTTTAAAGCACCCATTTATATGCTCCAGCGTTTAGCTTATAAGTGCTTAATTTCAGCACTAATTGTCACTTAATAAAAACACTCATTTAAGTTTTTTTTTTTTTACAAATGATGATGTTTTTTTCAAGTTTTGGCAAGCACTCTATGTCTCTATAAGACTGCATAGCGCAAGCTTCAATTATACTAATCCAAATCATTAACCAAAATTTGCCAATATTGACTTTAAAAATAAAAAATGTCAAATATTAATTTGGGGTAATAGAACCTACCAATAATTCCGGCCAGTACCAGGTACGAAGAAGATGACATGTGAACCGACCCTCCAAAAACAGCATAGATTCAAATAATTTCACTACAAAAGAAAAAGTAAAAACTAAACGGTCAATGAAGAGCAAAATATCTGAGTTCAGGGTTTCAAAAGCTAATTTCGGGGAAGGGGAAAGGTTTTTTTTTCTATGCCCTTAGCATTGTGGATGAATAGATTAAAAAATGACATGCTTTCATCACAAATTAAACCCTTTTAGAAATTGATTTGTATTATAAATTTTCCCACCTACTGCTCCACTATTTTTTTTGACTTACTACTGCTCCACTGTACACAAGTTACACAACTTTCTATTGGATAATCCATATCCGAATACTCTGGTTTGAAAAAGCAGAGTTCAAAATAAGTTTTTCAATACTCTGGCTAAGCATGTTTTTCAATATCAATAAGTTTGTTATAATAATACTGGTAATAGATTCAAAATAAAAATAATTTTATCGAATTAAGAGAAAATTTATGTGTGAATTAGTTCATGTTTATGAGTGTTCAATAAATCACATGGAAAAGAGTAAACCATAAAAAACCTTGTTTAAGATGTTCAAAATCATGTACCTTTAGCGGAAGGTTTGCACCACTCTCTCTTATACCAAGTGTTGAAACTCCGATATCAGATTTTTATAAGTATGAGCGTGAATCCACATCCCTTAAATATTTACCATGATAGAAGGTAGTTAAACCTTTAACTTAACACATAAAATGAAATGCAAAGTACACATGAAAATTGTGCCTCTTACGTACCCCCACCCCCACCCGGCCACCCCCACCCCCACTCACATGAAAATTGTGTCTCTTACCTACTCATTATGAAATATGCATCTATTGGATACTAAAACAAGGTTGCAGAATGCAGTAGACACTAGACATACATAAACTACGGATAAAAGCAAATGCTAATTCATCATATATTCATATAATGGTAACAAATTTCACACAACACACACACACATTCACATAATATTAACTTAATAATAGGAAGACTGATTTGTTAATTAAGTCTAATCTGGTCTAGTTAAATTTATTTTATTTAAGTCTGGTCTGGTCTTAACGGGTCTGCTTTAGTCTTGTTAAGGTTTGATTTCTTTGTGTTTTATAAATGTGAAAGTTTGATTTGTTTAAATTTGATCTGAGCTGATCTATTTAAATAGTATGGTCTGATCAGGTCTAATCTAAGCTGAGAATGAAAAAGTCCAAAGGAAAATATTCTTAATTTGGGGGAGAGTAAATTATGAGGCCATGCAAAAAACGTAACGTTAACGTACTTTGGCACTTTAATTTGCCACCTACTAATTAATTAAACGGCCAGCCACCACCCTAAAAACGTGTTTTTCTAGTGAAAGATCTTTCACTATTTAGGGTGTCTCATTTCCTTAAATTAGACATTCATATTTGACTGTTTTAGTGGATAGTGAAATATTAAAAATTTTAATAAGTTATTTTGATTAATGTATTTATGTGAAACTTATTAAATCTATACTTTAATTATGCTATTTCTGAAAAAGAAAATTGTCACATGACTCACATCATTTTTATACTATAAAAGTATAATGATAAAATATAATGATCAAAATTTTATCTTTAAAAGTCAAATTTAAGTAAATAAATGGGAAGGAAAGAGTACTACTTTGTTAAGCTTTAAAAGAAGATATAGCCATACCATCTATGATCTATGGAAGGGAAATAATAGCCATACCATCTATGATCTATGGAAGGGAAATAATAGCCATGAGTATACAAGATTACTCTCTTCTAACGTTGTAAGCGGCGTGCCGTTGGAGGAAGTTAGACTAAGAAGCTTAAGAGGGAGATAGACGGAGAAAGAACTATGCCGCCTAACCTTAATTGCCTCTTAGTATATAATCTTAGTATATAAGCAAAGATACTAACAATAATAATGTGTCATATATATATAGGAAATAAAGAAAACTCCAAAAGATCTGAGGCCGGCCGGTGAACCACGACAAAACTACCTTGCCAGTTGGCCATACACACGGCACATATGATAGGAGGAAAAAGTACTACATGGTAAAGTCTTTAAAATAAATTAAACAATATTTTTTTTTTGATAAAGTGGAATAATGGAATATATCAAGGGAGAAAGTATCTCAATGGAAACTCTAGATCGTTCCAAACCCATGTATCAACCATTCTTCTTGCACACATTTTTTATACACACTTTTGTGAAAAGACTATTTTTTTTGTGTTTGGGAATCTCGTTCATAGACAAATCGTATATGTGAATATATTCACCAAGATGTTTTGTCTGTGACGGGATTCATAGAAAAAAGCTTCTCATAGAGATGTGAATATATCTGCTTGCATTACTTCGAAAAAAAGGATGACACCCCATCCCTGAGGGCCCCCCAACACCGACCGGACAGCACGATGGGAGGATGTAAGTTGGACTATAATCACAACCTGACAGATAGAGAGTGGGGCTCCGTCCCCGGTACTTGGAGAGACCCTATGCATTTTTCAGCATAGTAACCCATTATCGCAGTTGCTGGGATTCGAACCCGAGACCTAACCCTTGTGGCACTCCCTCGCTACCAGTTGAGCTACGTCCACCGGTTGCTTGCATTACTTCTTAATTAATGTTTTTTTTATGGTTGGAACACTCAATTATTTCAGCTGGTGTCGCCATTATGGTGTAAACTGTAAATGTGAAATATGAAATTTGCCGGATTGAGATGGATAAAACATTTATCACATATCAATCTAACCTCACATTAAAAAGCATTCCTTCCATCTCGACTAAAGATTATAGTTTCTATTTTAAAAAATAATTAACACTCCTAAATAATAATTTAGTCATCAAAAATCAAATATAATATAATACAATGTTCTAAAAGGCGCTAGGCGCTAGTCGGGCGCCAGCCCAGTGCCTAGCGCCTAGGCGGCTAGGCGGGCGTCTAGGCGGGGACTAGTCGGAGACATAGAAATTGCATTTTTATCTATATTTTTTGCATAAATATGATAAGTAATACTACGTATTGTATTTTTGTGTGTATAAAATACATATAAACATATACATTAAGTCATTAACAAGCATGAAAGATAGAATTATCACATTTAATCATACGTAGTATATGATAACTAATCACTTAATTTTATTATGTTATAAATATAAATAATGATAAAATTTAGATATATATACAAACATGTATAATTTTATCTTAATTTACAACTTCATTTTTTTATATCCATGAATAAAGTTAAAGTACATATATCGCTTGGAAAATTTAATTTAAAAAGTAAAATAATGTTCAACGAATCTAGACGGCCTAGGCGGTTGATTAGGCGCTCTAAGCGGGCAACTAGGCGCCATAGGCGGCCGACTAATTCACCTAGATGGCAAACCAATTAGTCGGAGCGCCTAGACGAAAATCGGGGCGCCCGGCCACCGCCTAGCGCCTAGGCGGGGACTAGTCGGGCGCCTAGAACGATTTTTAGAACAGATATAATATCATCAAAGTAAATTTTCAAAACATATTTGAATAACTTTAAATAATGTCTAACTATTGGCGTCATTTTTCAATAATAAATTTAACTCGAAGAGAAGTAATACTTCTCATACGTTATCTTCTCAACAGCTTCTTAAAACGGTATGTATTTAGGAAATTGTTAATGAAAACTATGGCTAAAAAAGTAATCAATTATCACAAAATTCATTCAAAAGTTACTAGTTTATTAGGAGGGAATTTGTATGTGCACCTCTAAATTTTGCAGGTATGGTCCACTTTCTTATGTAGGTAAATAAAACAATGACACATGGACATTAAATCCATATATATTTTAATTATTTTCCATATGGTACAATATTATTGCCCTTATGGTACAATCAAATTAAGGGGTGCACCATAGAACTCCGAGGATCCCCAATGAATAGTCTACCATGCACCACCAGGTCACCAAATCCTTAATTTTTGACCAATTACTCAGATTACGATATAGTCCATAGTATTTATTCTCTTGATCGAGGCACGTTATTAGATAAAAAAAAATAGTGTTGCTAAAATAGGAAGAGAAAAGTAATTCTTTATTGTGCCCATTTTTGATCTTGTACTTTACTCTGATTTGATTTTTTCAATTAACAAATTTTTTCATTTTAAACCTTTTTCCGGTATTAGAATTCACATTTTCATAAACAAGAAAAATATATGTCAATGCTTTTAGATTATCGGCGAAAAAATTCTATTTGATCAAATACACAAGTGGGTAAAATCACATAATTAATAATAAAGTATTTATCCTAAATGAGACTAAAACATTGTATAAACTCCACAATAGGACTTTAAGTTTATTATTCTCTAAATAGGACTAAAGTTTACCATTTTGCCCCTGAATCAATTAAGCCTACAAGTCTACCCCTGCAATTCATCGCACCAGTACTCCCGTCGCCGGCTCTGCAATTCATCGCAGCACACCTCTGCCTCCCATGGACTACTGCTCCATGGCCTCGCGTCACTGTTCTGTCGTCCTGCACTCATCTGCAACCAGGTAAGTCTTCCTCTTCCTCTTCCTCTTCCCCCTCCTCCTCCTCCTCCTCCTCCTCCTCCTCTTCTTCTTTCTAATCCTCCTCAAATTTCTGGCCCTCTATTCTCTTCTTCTTTGGATTTCATGCAATTGAATTTTACTTATTAATTTGAATTTTTTGGATTTGATTGTATTTATTCAGTAAAATGTTACTGGTATAATATGAGAATGTCAAAATTATTGGTTATTTGATGAAAAAAATGTCACGTTTGTGACATTGTATTTAGTAGGATGTCAATCTGAAAATGTCACTTTTCTTTCGAAAATGTCATGAAAGTGACAAAGTATCTTCCCTCCAGTGACTCTGTGCAAACCTCCATGAGGAATGCCACCTGATATGCGAGAATGCCATAAAATGCTATAAGAATGACATTTCCTTGTGGACATATGACATTTTCAGACATTTTTAGATTGACATCCTGATAAATATACTGCCAAAAACGTGACATTTTTTCTTCAAATAACCAATAATTTTGACATTCTCATATAATAAAAGTGGCATTTTTGAAAATAATCAAAATTAATAGATTAATCTAGAATCTTAAAAGTTCACAAATTAGAAGAAAATAGAAAACCAGAAAAAAGAGGCCCAGGAAGAAGAACAAGAGAAAGAAGATGAGGAGGAGAAGGAGGAGGAGAAAGAAGGAAGAAGAAGAAGAAGAATGAGAAGGAGATTACCTAGAAAATTGCAGAAGGAGAGATGCCCTGCTATGGAAGTTTTCCAGCGTGAACAGAGCATTGCGGCCATGGAGGTTCCAACACGGGTGATGAGTGCAGCTATGGAGAATGCAGCGTGGGTGATGAGTGCAGCTATGGAGATTCAATTTTGCCAGTCCATGGGAGGATGGATCCCAGCGCTGGTGTCGTGCGTCGCAATGGAGGATGTCGTGCGTCGCTGGTGTGCATCGGTTATTTAATTAAGGGTAGTTTTGTCAGATTACCTATCTTTAGTCCTATTTTTGTTAAATAAAACATAGTAGTCCTATTTTTGCAATTCTACCTTGTTTTAGTCTTATTTAGTTAAATCTCTCTTAATAATAAGTGACACAACGAAAAGTTACCCGACGCAAATAGCAAGTCTTCTCAACAAGGACTAATTACACTTTAAATACACTATCAACCATAAATTTAGTGTTTGAAGGTTAGTTTCTGCCCTTTAACCTTTTGTTTTAAGAAATTTCAGAGTAGTGTATGTTTTCCACATACGTAATATATATGTAACTATGCATCTTTACTTCAATTAGGGTACGTTAAATAAAAATCTCTAAGCAAACTTAAAATTATTTTCATTTTTTCTGTTACATGGTAAAATATTATTCGCCAAACATTGTAATTTTACGAGGTATTCTGTTTTTAAACAATACTTTTTAAGTAATTTTTCATACAATCTTTAAAATAAAAATACTTAATTTGGAAACTAGAAGCCGGTACATTTTATTTATTTTGGAAAGTTTTCTACATGATTTTATATATATTAATAATTAAGACATTATTTAAAATTGAAATAATTACTTCACCATCCTATTAAAAAAATTGGGATAGAAGCTTGACCAGTTCTCGTTCTCCATGATTTTGAAATTTCTTGCGTCAACATCAGGTGTATCAGTTAGGTGAATCATGCAGACATTGAAGTGGTCTTTCCGGTGAAACACAATGCTGGTGTGTGCCTGGTCTAATTTTTTTGCATATCGGCAGGGTAAAACACAATATTGGTGTGTGGTCCCATTTTTACTATACATTTGTAAATATGTTTGAGAATTCTAAAAAAAAGAATTATTATATTTTTCAACCATGGCAATATCAACTCATATTTCGAGAAGATAAACATAAAAGAAACCTATTTACTCCTATTAAGCTACCTTACAAGAACCGGTCTAGGAAGTGACCTGGTCAGCCCAAACCCGACATGTCAACACCGGAAAAAACTGATCAACATTTGTAAGGGTAACGATTATCCACAGTAATCAAATAATAATACTAATAAACATTGAAAAGGCACTATAGCATATAATTGTCTATTTGTACACGAAATTTATAAACATTTCGCACACGTTTGTACATAATTGTTTGCGCACACAGATGTACACCACTAGTTACTTGCGTACAAATGTGTGTCAAGTGTGTACATGACTACACAAAATATTGTTGATGTTATAACATAGGCTCTATAGCTTGCTTGATACAGAGTATATAAAAATTCTTGCAGTTTGAAACTCATATAATAAGTTTTAATCTGAGTATATCTTTCCCCTTTTAATACTTAGCTTGTTCCGTTGTTCGGACTTGCATACACACATTGCCATTTGCCAGACATAGTGTTATCTTCTTG